AGTGTACACATTATAGCTGGTGTGCAGTGGCCTGCTGAAGCAAGGTTGCCCCTCATCAACAACAACTACCAGCAGGGTTGTTCCTACTGTACATATAATGCAGCTATAATCTTCATTCATTTTTTGCCAACGATGCCCGAGCTCTCTGCTTCACTCCTTTGACATGCTCAGGACTGTTAAGCCAGAGTAAATTAAGTCAAGTGCACTACAGTGTGATAAAGCCTAGACTGGCAGCAGGCTGAAGGCAACCGTATAGTCAAAGCCAAGTTTCTAGATGTAGTTTACACTGTATAAATAATGTGCGTCTAGATTTTATCTGCAGTACCATGCCCATTAAAGTATGTCAATCTCTGTTAAAGCAAGGTAAAGAATTCCTAGGCAAAAAGAGAAAGCTGTTTTTGTATAAAGAACCAACTCTTTAAACCACCAAGAAACAATTACAAACTGGAATCCTACTTGAAAACTAATACTGTTTTGATCTTGGAGAAAAAATATTTACAAACTTTCTAATTTCTTTACCTCCTCCTCAGATGGTTTGATGTCCGTTACAGGAAAGAAACAACGTAATTGTTTATTAGAACGTTTTCAAGGTCCCAAAACCATGTCAAGCAGACTAGATGACTAAATTATTATGATTTACAAACACAAAAAGCAAAAACTGCTCTAGGTATTTATAATAAAACATGTATCGGACATTCCCGAATTTATTGTGGGGTCTGTCAAGATGCTTGTTAATTAACCTACCATTTAATTAAATATACAATATTTATAAGAGATAAAAGGGACTAAATCCATCTGAAAGAAGAAGTCTGAATGCTTATAATCAAATGGATATCTAGCTGTTATCTGTTACATTTTCTGCCTTTACACAGTAATGACACTTTTAGGTGCCTTCAAAAGTAATCCTGTAACAAGTTGTCCGTCTTCTAAAACGTTGCAATCATGCTGAAAGATCATTAAATTACCGAAAAGATTTGCAGCCAAAGCAAACTTCTTTTATTAAACTGATTTCTGAAAAGATGTTGCAAAAAGTTAAATACCTCTGGAAACCATATTCAGCCTGCAAGTCTCCATGTTCACTGTCACCCTCAGAATTCGTGTGTTACTTTTCTTGCCAAATCTCCCTTTCTCTGTGTGAAATGTTTTGTTTTTCTTGCCTTGTGTTAACAAGGCATAGTGGAAAGGCCAATCCCTTGTATATGCTAGCACTGTACGCATGTAAATGGTATTTTCCAGATATGAAACTCAATGCTAGACACCTATCCTTAAGAGCTGTGTAATTTAGGGTTATAAAAGATTGCTTACATCAATTTAAGATATTTCCGTTAAATTAGATTTGGCACGAACAGTAAAAATAATGCTGGGCACACACTTAACTGTCATCCTTCGTGTGGTGATCCTTCATCAGGATGATCAATAATTATATTCAAATCACTATTTCAATTAAACTCAACATTTATGTCTACAGCCTGACTGTTTCCATTAAGCACCTGCAACAGTTTACGCAAGTGTACCAGTTTCTATTTAAATCAAAATGTAAAATCCTGGAAATTGTCACTGGAAGGGGACAGTTTAGAGTGTAAATGTACTGTACACACATCATGGAGTAAGATCATCAGTGGTAACTTTCAACAAGAGGCACAGGCTCTGGACCTTTCACTCTTTCAGCATGTTAAATTTATCAGTCATCAGTAAAAACACAAAGGAGTGCATTTAAAACTCTTAAGGTACAAGATGTGATTCCCTGCATTTTTCTTGGTTTCTAGTCTATGCTTTGATTTCAGTACCAATCGCAAATCATGCGAAAAAGTTTCTAACAATCCAAAACACACTGATCACAAGAAACATTGTGTATTTCTGCAAAGCACTGCACTCATTTGTGCATGTAACAACATGAATAATGACATGTAAACAAACAGCAAAGACATTCATGTATAAAAACAGACAGGAACATTCTATGATTCAGAGCATCAAGAACATGCTTTTCTCCACCTCCAGCGATCAGTACTGAAAAAACACACTGGAATAGAGTGAGGGAAAAGGCCAGGAATGTCATCTTGCAATGAAGCCTTTCCTAAACTAAGCATCAGAACAATTCCCCATCCAATTTTAAACACTACTCTTTGACCTCAATAAAAAAAGCATGATTACAAATTGAACAAGCACTGAAGCTACCATAGTGTTTCCCATTGTCTTTAGCAAGCATTCTAAAAATTATACACTTTTGTGTTTAAATACAGTACTTTGAATAAAAAGAATGGCAGCTGTGTGACTCCAACATATGGGTTGATTGTATCTAAGCTCCATAAAAGCCTGATGTAACCTTTCACGGTTCAAAATTGCATACTCTGAGGATTGGTGTGACCACAAATGTAGTATGTTCTACAATTCCTATTTCACTTCAAAATAAGGCCTGATGAATTACTAAAGGATATTATCTCAAATGACTCCTACATAACTGAAGAGTAATTTTCCTCTGTAATTAAAATAAAAAAGGTTTTTCTGACAAACCCTGTACTTGATTGTCTTCAACTTAGTTTGGATCTATTCGTTATACACAGTAAACATAAAAGCTTAAAGAGATCATCAAATTTACTCCCAAAACAAATTACATTGAATACTATAAAAAGACAGTATAAGAATAATTAAAAACAAAGCTTCAGAAAATGCATTTTTAAAAATGCTTAAAACAATCACCTTAAAACCTTTTTCTAAAATTCATGTTTAGAGAGAGCCTTTTGTTTCAGACTACCAGCCATCCTAGAAGAAAACTTCTATAGATAAAACTTCTATAAAACTAAGATAGCTCAGCTTTGTGTTCTTTCTAATACTTTGTATCAAAAGCTGCAAATCAGATTTCATTTTGTTAAGCCTGTTTAAAGTACCGTAACTGACTCAAATATCAGTTTGCATTCATTTCCTAGTTAAAATAAATTGCATTTGCAGACGTATATCAAAAAGACATGCAAAATCCAAACCAATGCAGCATTTCCTAGAAACACCAGTCTAGTTTGCAAAGGAGGCAGAAGTAAAGAGTGACATCATAAGCTTCCTTATTTTCCTGTCCGACAAGTAAACAGGAGAACTAACTGCTGATCCAGCCTGAAAGAAACAGCTGTGCCTGATGTTTATACTCTTCTGTGCAAAGTCTATATCAGAGCTCTGCATGTTTGAGGACCTTACTTGAAGACTTTTTTTTTTTGCATTGCACGAGTCAGAGTAGAAGATACAGGTGTCTGCTCACAGAAAAATAAAGGCAAAGAAAACACAAAAATACGAAAACCACAAGCATCTGCCTTTCAAACCACTCGTGTCAGAGTTCAGCTCGTTTTCCTTTTCTTTCATCGCACAACGTCCTCCTGTCTTTTTCAAAAACATTCTCTTCCATCACGGTTATGGCGCAATAAAAAAACAAAGTAATCTTTTCGGAATGCCAGTGTGTTGGACACCACTGGAATAACTACACGAGCGCGCCCACGACCTGCTTCAGGAACAAAAATCTTTTGAACTAATTATTTTGCGGAGATAATGCCCTTTCTCTGGCAAAACAACCACTGCCCTCCTAGGGATCAAAGTATAAACTGTGCCGCTGTCATAGAATAATTGAAACAAAAATAAAAACAAAAGACAGAAAGGAATATGAGGACCCTTACGCAGCGGTCTTTAATTGAAGGAGGTGGTAGTGTACATCGGGGCTATGTGCTGCAGGACATCTGTACATCAAATGTGAGGGAGGGACACAACACTTACAGGAGAACTCCAGTTTCACGAGTTTTCTATAAAAATATGATCAGAATACAAGTTTTAGGAGTGCACAGACTTCGCCTTCTAAATGGCCCTTTCCTTTACTTACTTCAAAACGAACAACACAGGCAACACTAGCATTTAACCTTTCCTTCGAGAAAGGAAAACTCCGCCGCCAGTGTGACAAACTAAATAAGGCCTACTGTACCGTTACACTGGCTGAAGCACTGAAAAGAATGGTCAAACAACAAACAAAGAAAGCTGCTGCTGAATGAATGGGAACCACAGGAAAATCCAGGCTTTGTGCACGGTTTATAAACCACAGCCTCAAGAGAAGACAAGCATGGCGGCAGACCAGTTCCGTAATAGGCTGTCTGTAAAACTGGGTGAAAGAACGCGATAAAGGACAGAAAATACAGTTCTCGCCATCAAAAAAAGTTTAAACTAAGTCCATGTGGGCTTCCAGGTAACAGCAAACAATCTTTAAATGTTTTCTTGATCTCCGAGAAAGGGAAGACCATTGGTTTTAAAGACAAGCCCCTATTTTTGTCCACAACGTTTCAGAGATTTTATACAAATGGAAAAATTGCTAACATTGTTCTTAACAATGGAAGAGGTTGTGGTAATATCCATACATTGTTCTGTTAAACAATGTCAAGACATTTTTCTATGCACTATCACCTGTCTTTATTGTTGGTGAATCTACCACGACTGCCAAGTGTACAATGTGAAAGGGTAGCCTAAAATAAAATAATGGGTAACATTTCACGGTATACAATCATAATTTATAAAGCCAGTGGACACAAAACTCTTAAGTTTCACATAAGCATTCAGATGAAAATCGCTAAATGCATAATAGGATATCGATCACATAATTCTAGAAACGTCACATTCATTTTTCCTGAAAAGATATTTGACAGTGAAAACACTACCCCAACACATCCAGGAGTTTCTGTACAGACACAGGACTCCAGGTACTGTCCTTCAAGATACTGCGGACGCTACCAACATCCAGCAGCAGTCCCATCAAGAGAAGGAATATGAGTTAAACAACTTACCTGCTGCACAGAAAAGAATAAATTGTCCATCTGTAATTTTTTTTAGGACAGGCAAAAAAAATAACAAATCCCCCAGAGCTCAGGTAATCGAATAAAAACGCTGACTGCAATTAAATTCCTAAAACAGGTGTTTCTTTTTAAAAATTAAAAATAAAAGTGGGGGCGATGGTTTTGAGGATGATAAAGTAGCAGAATTACCTTCTGGTCCACGATAGAGCAGACGAGGTCTTTCACCGCGGAAATGGAGAGGTCGTGGGCTTCCAGCGTGACCGTCTCCCTGGTCAGTCCGATCTGGAGGAGGAAGGACACCCCGTGGAAGGAGCCCCGGGAGTTCGTGGGACTTGGGGCGCTGAGGCTCCCGTTGGACAGGCGGCTGTAGAGCCCCGCCGGTGGGCTGGGCGACGGCGAAGGAGTCGGTGGAGCAGACGGGTGTTGAGAGTGTGGGTATGACTTTGGCAAGGATGGAGGAGATGAGCTGCTGCAGGCAGACATTGGATGGTCTTTTTTTTGTTTTAATTTTGAGATGATTACCGTGTAAAAAAAAAAAAAGTATGTTGCAGGTCGTAATGATGATCAAGAAAAGGCGAAAGCCCCCACCCCACCCCCTCGAACTTCAACAGAAAGAGCTGGGCTGTGGTACCATGATCTCTTTGTCGGGTTACTGATGATGTTGGTTAAGTGAAGGCAACTTTTGTGGGGTGGGGGGTGGTGGGTGTCAAAGAAACAAACTGGTGGAGACGGGACCGATCAACAGCGCCCCTTTCCCGCGCAGCAACACATTTTCGGCTGTGGTCCTCCAAGGCCCCAGGTTATTCGGGGGAGCACACAACGGGGGTCCCGGGCTGGGATGTCAAGTCGTACCGCTGCCCAGGAAGGGTGCCGGACAAGGCGGGGTGAGTCAGCGGCGGCGGCCCGTCATCCTCTCGCTTCTCGGAGGGGGCGCAGGCGAGGGTCCGAGGGAGCCCTTCCCGACACGCTCACGAGAGGGAAGACAAACTTTTCCTCCCCCCCCACCCCCCAAAAAAACCTGTCGAGGCGAATCCCTCCTCTGAAACGCCGTTGCTTTTAGAGCTACGCCTTTCTTTCAATGACATGGGGGGAGAAAAAAAAAACCCTTCTCCTTTCAGAGGACGGTCGTTCTCGCCCCGTACAGCTGCAGCCTGCTGTCACCACCGGAAACCTACCAACAAATAGCCCAGAGACACAGAGAAAGAGACAGGAGACGAGGGGAAATTTCGTTAATTGGGAGTTGGGAGAATGTGCGCGTTGTCTCCGCAATGGTTCCAGGCGCGAAAGCCACTTGGACGGACTGTCGTTTTAAAAGAACTGCAAATAACACGGGCTGTCGAGTTTATGAAGCCTTTCCTGTACAATACGAAGCTGCCATTAGAAGATGCCTTAAACTTCGCATTCGATCTCCATTTCTATATCGAAATTTGCTACAGGGATGAGCACCGTTTTCACAATATGAATACCAAGAAGTTAAGAAGTGGTTTGGTTTGGTTTTCGCTGTTTGCCCCCCTCCCAACAATTTAGACAACAAAGAACTCGTAAATGGTCAGATAAATATTAACCATATGATGGTGCAGCTCAGATTGTTCTCGTTTTGAATGTGTGATCGTTTAAATCCGTGGCGATGGGATCTGCTGAGTACAACCCCAAACTTTCGTGCTGTTGCGGTGTAGCAATCTTTTTTCTCTGCATGAATCTCGCTAGATGTTTTTATTTTGAGATCTATAGCTTTAACTTTACAAGTTTTATTAAACCAGGTGATTCAAGTCACAGATATTATTTTAAATATCTGGTTTATACGGCTTGTATTTTTTAAAACAAAATAGTTCTTTATTGTAAGTCTTAACCCGTGTTGTAAGATTCGTTTTTTAAAGAGTAAAAGGCGTTCAATATCCACTGCATGTAGTTGGACTTTAAGTTTGGGATCTCAAATTAACAAGTCAAGTTTGCCCAGATATTGTAAACGTACTCAAAAATTATATATAGAAAATGGGGTGTTGCTACATTTTTCACTAAAATAAACATAAACGTTTGAATGGTGCAAGGTTTAAACAAAAAGAAAGACAATTAACGTAGCATTTATCCATCAACTAAGCAAAAGCTAGTTCAACCACGTTTTCCCCCTTGTTTCACGACAATAGTGTAGTAATAAAAAGACGGAATGGTATCATGTAGTTAAGGTATTGTTTAGTTAGGAAGTTGTTTTCGTTTTCCAAACAAAAAACACAACTCGTCTTCAAAAAACCGTTAATACAGTAGTAAGACGTTTGGTTACCAGCAGCAGAAGAACTTGCTGTAGTCAAATTCTGTGCGCAAAGTTACTCGGCATCTCACATCTGGAGACCCGGTGCCACATCTGGACCCTCCCACTTCCAACTGGATAGCTGACACACATCAAACCTCCTCGGTAATAATACTCAATTAATTGTTAAAATGCATTTTCCTACATGCAGCGCACACGCATACAAAGGCCAGGGCTCTGGCACGCGAATAATGAACGGACTAGATTAGTTACCAAAGGGAGCACCGCTTTAAGAACTAACATTACCTCTCTCCAAAGGGCGGTTTGTTTCCTTGGCAAGACTGCTGCTGCAGAAACTCTGAATTCCAGCAACCCTCAGAAAACGAAATTAGGAGACTTCATTCTCAGCGATATTTTTTTTTAGACTTCTCAAAAATGATCCCCCAGTTCTCCACCTGCTAAGATGCGCTCGTACAAGAAAATAAAACCGAGCATAGAGGTCGTACGTTAAACTTCACCCCGCTTTAAAAACTTTCTTTTTTTTTTTCCACAGGCAGTTCGCTAGTTCATGCGCATCTTATTATCCCTCCAGCTGTGACTTTCTCCCCCCTCCAGTTAGAAAAGACCACGCAAGCGTCTCTGGGAGTTGGAGTTCCATGACCCCGCTTCTTTAGCCAGGCGGAGCAGCAATTCTAGAGAAATAAACTACATATCCCGGCGAGCAGCGCAAGATGGGGGGGGGTCCTGTGCAGCGCACTGCGCATGCTCCTCGCAGACAACTTTTCCGTTATGTGCGAGCAACGCTCTTGCCAGCCATGGCTGTAGTGCCTGCGACCTCTAACGGTGTAGCCGAAAACACAAACGGAACAATACGGGTTAAGAAGGGATGGTTATCTAAGCGGACCCAGTTTACCCACCGTTGGAAGCCTGCGTGGTTTGTGTTGAAAGAAACCGAGCTCTTGTATGGGGATAATGAGGAGGTAAGGCACACAGTCAGACGGTGGGATCGCTTTACAGTGGCCCCGGAAGGCAGCCCTGCGCGAGAGCGACTCGCTGGCGTTTCCAAGACAACAGGGCAAGCCATTATTTCAGCACGCGCTTGTAACTGAAGCTGAAACATTTAATCAGTCCCCACCACAATGACCAAATAAAAGATATGAACCCTGTATATTAATTTGTGCAATACTGCGGGTATTTACCATTCATTGGTTGGCTCTCTCGCCCTTGTTACTAAGGTTATGAAGGGCGGCCAGAGACACAATACCACAAACGAGCCTACCGTTCATTAATGTCCCATGAGATGTCAGGCGGAAGTGTGTTGTGTTTCTCAAGGTTATTTGAGAAACAGGTTACATCAATAGAAACTGAATTTTGAATAATGAATATCCGAGTTCATCTAGGTGAAACAGTCGCCCAGCAAAAGGATTAAACGAACACGCCGAAAGGCAAGCACTGAGACAAAACCGTTGCTCTCTGTAAGTGTTTGAAAACATCGGTGATTACCCTGTACTTTGCAATTACCCGCGGATGGTTATCAACCAAAGAATTGCGATTTTAAGAGGTTTATTGTCAGTATTATGTGCTTCAGTTCACCCTAATCCCTGCTGTGCCAATTCCATTTCGTTCTTAAGCACTTTTATAACACACGTATGAGTTAAGGCAGAAAATTAATATACAAAATGCATCATCATTTAAACATATGGTACTGTATTATAAAATAATGATTGCAATGGACTGTGACCTACTAAGTTTGCGTGGCTTACAACCAAAAACGTCATCAAAATAAGTTAACTGGCCCCATAGGCGTTAACCTAAAATTATAACACAAATATCAGTGTTTCTAGTATAACTTTCTTTAAAACGTCGGCTGTGGGCTTTGATAGAGAGCTGGTTGCACAGGATAAGTGCTCATCGTGGTCTGTGAAAACACTAGTCGCTGTGTCGGGATTTTGGCTGATTCCTGTGTCTGGCCAGTTCCTTCCTTGCCAGAATACATGTGTTGAAAGGACTTGCCCTAGGGTTAATGATGCCTGTATCAGGGCTCACAGACAGCTCCACCAGCAAAGGCACTTAGTGAAAGCACAGCTCGTAGCATTCAATGCAGACACGGACAGGTGGAGCGCGGGCTGTGGCCTCACTGTCTGTGGCTGAGTTGACCGAGCTGGTGGCAGAAACCGCCGGGGACGAGTGAGAGTGTTCTCAGTTCACAGGGTCGTCAGGGAGAGCTGCATCGCTCCTCCCATCAAAGCACTGATGGTCCTACGGGTGCTATGAGTTAAGAAATACGAGGCAATTCCACTCCTTTGACTAAAGGGTACAAGGTCATCGTCCCGGCGATTCCAATATAGGCGAAAATGGAGGGCGAGCCTGTGAAGTCATTTTAAAAAGAAGGTAAAAGAGCCTTTTCTCTCCCGTACTCCATTGGCCTTACAGGTGATCTCACCCTACCATAAAATGTGTTTTCTCGCCCAGGAACCCCGCAAGACTATAAACATGGTTGGTGCGCACATCGGGGCAGGCGATGGCCGGGACACCCAGTACAGCTGGACAGTGACTCCAAAGGACAGCAAGAGGACGTTCTTCCTGAGAGCCGGCAGCGAGGCCGAGCAGCAGGAGTGGATGCAGGCCATCTGCGAGGTGATGCTGGGCTCCTCCAACGCGCGCCACCTCCGCGCCTGTGCCATCCAGTAGCTCGCCCACCGCGGAGCACTTTCGGCTGAGGCCCTGGGTCCTTCGCAGCCCACTTCATTCGGCAGTACCGGGTGAAACAGGTTTACACTCCACCATATCCTCCCATCCCCGTTTTTATATGATAAAGTCATCATCTAGAAATGTACGCGATTTGCTGCTAGATAAATCATTCAAGAATTACTGATTTTATATTCATTTTTGTAGGAGAAATATTATCAGATGTGACACACTTATTGATTATGGAACTACTGACCTTTCAAGATGGGAATTAAAAACTCAAGTTGTCAGTGGATGATTACTGTTCCTTTCTTTGCATACTGAAATTGCTCAGGTCTTTGACAATATAAGCATACCGACTCAATAGACCATTTCTATCTTTGTCACTGACAAAGTTTGTGCATGTCATCGGTTTTAATTGTAAATGTACACTGTTATTAAATATTAAATAAAAGATCCAACATTCCACTGCTGGAGACTTTCTTTAAAAAATTCATGGTTAGAGCAGACATTTCCTGGTGCATTTTAAGAAGCTTCACAACCCAGTAAACACACCACAAGTGTCTGGATTACATTTAGGAAATTTTCACAGACATGTTCCATGCCTATAAATGACCTATAATTGTTCTGCAACTACTTTAATAAGTTACTGTGAGTTCTAAAATAAACTCAAAGTGTGTACACAGTGGAGTAAAATTAGGTAAATTAACCCAAAACTAAAGAAGTGTATGCACGATTTGTAAGTGTATGCAAAATATCAACTGCTGTATGATCAAACAAGGTCTTAAAAGTGTCACCCACTGCTTAATTGTTTATCAGTTGTTTTTTTTTTATATGCTGTCCTCTTCAATTAATGGCTACAGATCAGGACAATATCACTACTGTTTCAAATTTCCATTTACTGTGCCTTGCAAAAGCAATCAGACCCATCATATGGTGTCACATTTTGTAAAATTATGAAAAGGTACACAGTGGCTATCAAAAGTATTTGTGCCCCTTGGAATTGTTCACATTCAATTGTGCTGCAGTTTGGAATCTATATATTTTATTGGGATCTTCTGCCATTGACACAAAACAGTGTAATGTCAAAATGAGAAAATTCTTCAAATCCTCCTCAATTAATTCTAAATCAAAAACAGAAAATGAAGGAAAAAAAGACTTTAAGGATGAGATGGGTTATTGTGAATGTCAGTAAAAACATAAGACTAAAAAAATGTGTAGAGTGCATAATTATTTGAACTGGTGAACTAAGTACTAGCAATTACAGCCACAAAACCTTTTGAGTTCGTCTCTACTAACGTTGCCGTCGGCTTTGCGCACTTTCCATCTGCTCCACTTGACATACTTGCTCAGGATCTCTGAAGTGGCTTAAGGATAGTAATAATACTAATAATAATAATTGCTTACACTTATATAGCGCTTTTCTGGACACTCCACTCAAAACGCTTTACAGGTAATGGGGACTCCACTCCACCACCACCAATGTGCAGCACCCACCTGGATGACTTACTGTAACAACAGCAGTTTTTTTAAGTTTTTGCATAGATTCAACATTTTCCCCCATCTTAGCAACCGAACTTCGTAACTCGTTGCCACTGGCCTCACGGTAGCGGGCCTACCCAGTTCGATCCTTGCCCAGGTGCTCAGTTTGAAGGCGCAGGTCGATCTAGGGATTGTCTGGGTGGTACACTGCTCCTTGCATTTCTCATTGACGGAGTAGGCCATACTCACAGGGCTATCCAGACACTGATCATTTGTGTACCCTTCTGCTAATCTGTGCCTTTGTACTTTTTTTGTTGAGTTGTTCTGAAAGCTGCTTGGCCCTCATGGCCAAGTCTCTACCTCAAATTCGCTGACCAAGGAACCTTACAGAAATAGGTATACATATTCTGTAATCATCCTAACCACTGTTATTGCACACAGAGATTTCTCAATTATGTGGTTTGTTGTAATTTTGGGTATCCGGGAAATTAATTTTGTTTTGCCACACTAAACTGTTTGAATACTTATTCAGTCTTATCTTTTCCATTTTCATTTCATATTACCACCTTTGTGTTTTGCTTTGAATGTGTGAAGTAGGGTGTTCACATGACAAATAATTGCTACTACACAGTGTTATCACTGAAAACTTTAAAGTATCAGTTATCAAATTTTGAAATCTGTGCAGGAACCTGAATATTTTTGCAAGGCGCTGTATATATTTGTTTGGTCAATAAAATCAGTTAACTGGCCATAAAATATAAAAGCCCTTTGCACAAATCTTTATTTAAAAACAATTGTGTCGCAGAGACATAAGATATAAAACGTGTTATTAAAGAGATAAGTAATTAGCTCTGTTTCTTTTTGTATGATTTAGAAAACTCAAGCCTTGTGCAACACTCCAATATATCAAACAATACTGAAGTAAAATGTATTCCAAATAGTTATATAATCAAACCACACAGAATTTGTTAAGATGGATACTGGCAGTTAATTGTAGAGCATAAAAACTAGTAATACTGATCAGTTGTTCTCTAGGCCTGCCATCAATCAGACATAGTGAGCAGCTGATCATGGTTACTGACCTGGATTTTAAGTAAATTAAAATACCCACTCTGTCTCCTGTACCACAGGAATAATGGAGATATATTGTCATGAAAAGGACAATTATTCATACTGTACAGTATACACTATAGAAGAAGGCAGAGGCTTAAATAATTTTATATGTAACCTTGTAAATACTTTTTAATTTTCTAAAAACAATAAAATTCAATACAGAAATGATTACCATTTTTTCATCCCACACGAACCCCCTCAAGGATACTCCCCAACTAGTTTCCCCCTTTTTCCTCCTTGTATTCTCCAACACCGTCTGACACCATTTGCTGACTTGAGACAAGGAAGACACTTGTCTCCAAAAACTGGACACGGATTTCTACTAAACCAGATTCACTGCACCAGTCTCATGGAAGGACACATGTCTGGTTCGATCTAAAGAGATGACAACATGGAAAAAGGATGTGTACCTTCACGATGCTATGTACAGTTGTACATGGCACTAGGTACGAATAAATGTGTTACCTTGGGTCCTTACTTATGTGCGTATGTGCATACTGCATATAGAAGCATCATTTCCTTTTTAATCTCTACTGAATCTCCATTCCCATTGATCAAATGCTACGGTAAAAAAACTGCCTTGCGTTTAGTGTGTTTAGAGCAGGGGCACTTACATTTACACTATTTATATGCAGTTCCTTTCATCAAGTGGACACTGGAAAATGTGTAAATATTGACAGTTACCATGGTCTGATGCCTCTGCAGAAGAGCTAAGTGCTCCAGGGCTGGACTAATGGTCTACACTAAAGCATAAAAGCTCTTCTAATAGAAATGAACAGACAGGAAAATTAAAAGCAAATGGGAATATTAAGTATGGTTTTATGAACTTATACCGATATACATAGCACATGCCAATGGAAACGTCAAATAAAAGCTACTGTGGAAGCCTCAGTACTGTGGAAAAGACAGGTCAATCTTTTGAGCCCAGGCCATCAGTCCTCCCCGGATGTCTTTCGCAGCAATGTGTTCCAGCTCCACACCGGACATTTCCTGCAAGATCTGGACGGCCTTCTGGGAGTCATTCCCAAGCTTACAGATCACATACACTAAAACACACAAGAGGAAAAACTCCATCACCTTGTTGTAAACGTCAGTAAAAACAAGAGACATTACTGGGATGCTCCAGGAAGTGCTTCCTTTTAGAGTTGGATCAACGGCTCCTACTGCTGAAATAAAGGCGAGAAAGCACAACTAACAGCCAAGATTCATGGTGACAAAAATTACATCAAAACAAGACAAGCCATTATTCACTAATATGAGCACAGCACTAACCCAAGCCATTGTCCTTTGCACTTATCATTAATAACCATGTGCTGTGTGATCACATCTGATCAGATTCTGTCTGCTCAAGAGTTCAGATTGGGCTAAACTTGGGCATCTGGTTTTGTCTCTTTTTGTGCCGTTTAATCAATCATACTTGATCTGCTGTCAGCAGTAGATGCTAGAAATCCATGCACACAATTTCACTAAAAGAATACAGCTCCAGAAGAAATGCTGTTCTTGCACAAGAGGTCTAACAGACATCACCTACTTATACAGTAAGTGCAGCCACTGAGTATAATTTTGATGCACTGCTTCAGTGTAATAAACACAAGCAGACAGCCTAATAAATGTCTTCACACCCAAGAACAGCTCACAAACTCCCCTTATTAAAAGAAAACATTGATTTTCTTTACTTTTTCATAGCTCAATGCTGACTATAAAGACCATATTATATATGTATATTATTATAGTACTGGCTCAGAAAGTTCAGTGTTTATGATGGCTCTATTTTACAGATTAAACACGACCAGAGAGTCAGTGTTTTCTGGCAAAAACATTAATTTTGGATTTCCAAAGACAGATATTTTTGAAATGTTGGATATACATGTAGACAAAATAAATATGAACAGCTGAGACCTGAATTACTGTACTGTACAGCACTGAAGCATGGTAAATGTTAATGTTCAAAAGCACCTGAATATTGCAAAGAAAGAATTCTCAAAAACATTTAAAGGTTTAAATTGTACTGTACACCATTCACACAATGTGAGCATTTCATGACAAAAAAGGTGAGAGACTGTTTTATGCCATAGGGTAACATCACATGAATTTCAAGACAAATTTCCTTGTCTTCCAAGAAACAGCAAGTAATTTTGTTTAAAAAACAAGCACTTTCCATAAATAATATTATCCTACCTTGTCCTCTGCACCTTGTGCTCTCCTGAATTTTCTTTTGAGAGCACCACCTTTATGCTTTTATAGCACAGGTAACATAGTATGATATTAGGTAATGTGATGAATTTAGGGCTGAATTTAAAAATTGCCACCAACATCTGTTTTTGCTATTCTTGCCTTTTTCTCCATAAAATTTGAATTTGTAGTTTTTAAATACCACAATCCATATGTTTCCAACAGGTCTTTGCATGGAATTCATCTACACTTTTTCAATTGAGTGCATTAAAATTTTAATTCAATTTCAACACGCTCAACCAACTCCATACTTCAACCTGGCCTGAAGTCTTATCATCAAGCAAATGACAAGAGAATATTTCGAAACTCCCATGACTGTGATTCACTTGGTAGAATTGCAAGTGAATCATTATAAGTATAATAAGTGCACACTGAAACATGCACAATGGGCCCATACGTAGGAGTAGGGTGGCCCCTACCCGCTATGGATTGGGAAGCAAACAACTCACACAGACGTGCAAGATGGGAAATTCAGAAGGAAACGGAAACACAGAGACCATTTCAAAATGGATACCATTTTTTAACACAAGACAGGCAACACAGCTCCATCCTGGAGGTCAATACCAGGTCTCTGACAATACCCCAGGGGTCGCCGAGAGGCAAGACAGCCCTGGCTGACTGAACTCACGCCCACCCCGGGCAGCACCTTACAGATGAGATAAGATCACTTTATTGGCCATATACAGTTTCTTGTATTAGGAATTTGTCTTTTCGCATACCCCAGCTTGCTCTCCATGAGACACACAGACAGGGAGAGAAGCTGAGGGTCAGAGCGCAGGGTCAGCCATTTATAAGGCTGTATGGAGTTTGTAAGTTCTCCCCATACAGGGTCTCCCGTGACGTGCTGGCACCCTCTCTGCTTTCAGGTGGGTCCAAGTACCTGTTTATGAGCTAATTCTGTCTTGGCTGGAGTCAAGTACCTGTTTATGGGCTAATGCTTTTCATGCAAATAAGATCACTTAATTAGCCATATACAATTTCTTGCATTAGGAATTTGTCTTTTCCCATACCCCAGCTTGCTCTCCTTGAGAGACACAGACAGGGAGAGAAGCTTGGGGTCAGTGCGTAGGGTCTGCCATTGTACGGCGCCCCTGGAGCAGTTGGGGTTGAGGGCCTTGCTCAGGGGCCCAACGGAGGAGGATTCCCCTGCCGGCCGCGGGATTTGAACCGGCAACCTTCCAGCCACAGGCGCAGAGCCACCGCGCCGCCCGTCACAGTCAGCTCGTCACAAGACCCGGGCTCGGACCCGGGCTCGGACCGACACTCCGCTCAACTGGTGTCCAGGAGGCCCTGCACAGGCTTTACGTCACAAGGCTTTTATCTTGTAAACGATGCAATTCTGGTCTCTGCATCATTATTTCCTTGTCCGACACGAGGTACCAAGAAAGCGAGTACAATTAAAAGGTTCGCTCAAGAGCTCAAGCTGCTGGGTTTCCACTGGGTTTCTTAAAATAGTCAATTAAAAATACTTGCAATGAAAAAATAACCCTATGTATATTCACACACAGACACACACATTTCATATATATTCCACAAAACTATTTAAAACATAGGCTATTCATGAGGACACCAGCTGTCGGTAATGACTAAAATATGTCTGTATTGGAAATATCACCTAGCAACCCTGTCATCTCAACATGCTCATTGGATACCCAAAAGCCATGGTCATTTGGCGGTGTATAGATGCAGAGGCCTAATTAGGGTGAAGAAACTCGGATTACTCTTCTTTTGTGGTCTCAGCATGTTGCTGGGCCCTGTGCCGCTTGAGAACAGCAGCAGACCAGCTATTGTGCTCACGCATCAAATCACTTCCTGCAATTGACTCCATATGCATCTCTCACTGCAACTGTCAAGGACGTCTTCAGCACCTGGGACCTTTCAATTCCACGTGTGTGTCGGTTGGGAAGAAGCCTCGATTTGATAAAAATGTTAACTTTAGAAATGATCCAGGGTAATTCATGATCGCACTGCAATCCGAAAGGCTGAAATACACCTTTAAGAAGAAACCAGCATTAAAGTTTATAACCCCCTAAAACATCATGACTCATGACTGCTACATGAGTGTGATTATAACCTGTCGGACTTCCACAGGCCTTCACAGTGAGCTGCCAGCCTGACCACATCACTGACCTGGAAAATCTGATTTTCGGTCTGTCTTCTGCCTGCTCTCTTCTATTTTCTCCTTCAGCAGTTGTAAATGTGGAGCTTTTTTGTCCTCTAAACTAGCAAGAGGTATATCTGAGAGCAGCATATAGAAAAAAAAACCCAAGTTGATACAAATTGAAAGAGGATCCCATTAAAGCGAGCATTATAATATCACTAATAACTTGAAAGGCTTAGAAAACTCAGGAGTCTGATAATTACTTCACATACAAAAGCAATAATGCTTTCATATCTGACCACTACCATTGTTCATGGTCCTTAGTGTAAAACACATCCGCAGACCCTGTACAGCAGTGTCTTTAAACAGGAATCAAAACTATACAAAGCTTTAAAGGGGAACTGAATTCTGTGAGGCAACAAAACGTCCGGTGATGTGAAGCAGCCCTATGGCATTGTAAAGAAGCAGGCTTATGAATACATCTCTTACTACTGTTCTTGACTTCGAGACAGTTTTGCCGACAAATACTTCTTACTTGTTAACGGTGCCCACAGATCACGTTGGGACATTTCTGCGGTGAAATGCCACCTGCACAACCTGCACTTGTTTGCTCGTACATCGCAATACAACAGTCTTTACAGGGACTAGCGAGCAGGAAGGGCCGCTTCACATCACGGTTTGCGCAAACTCTCCCTCTTGCCTGTGATGAGACCAGGGGTTTGCAACAACACGGCGACTTACAGCACTTTCACAAAGTTCACGATTTTGTGTTCAATTCAGAATTTGTCCAGTTTTTCCTATGCCATGCCAGCAATTCACTGATTTTGTCGCTGGAATTTAATAACCGGTCTAAGAAACTGGGACAGCAGTTCCCTTTTAACAAGCCCTGTCAGCCATGGAGAAATTGTCAGACACAAGGGACTGAAAATGCTGGTTACCGCCACAAACACGAAAGCCCTGCCGTGCTACCAGTCCAAAGAAGGATACTGATTGAGACGGGCAGGTGGCAAATGTCGACCTCCACCGGCGGCCGGACGTCAAGGAGCAGGTGAGGGACGTGCTCCTCCAGGATCTCTTTATACTCCTGCGGAGGGATCGGATCCGTTACCATCGTGCCCTGCGGCTCTCTACACGGTCCGACCTTAAAGGACGGAATTAACCTAGACACAGTGAGGGCGAGCCCATTCAGCCTTGACAGAGGCAGGAGGAGGAGGAGATGAAAAGAAGAGGGAGTTTTACACAGCGCTTCTCAACCCAAATAAAAACGCAGCTTCGCTCACCTCCGAAGTGCAGCGCCCAACTGGGTGATTGTTTCTCACAGGGACAGTACAACGTACAAACCACACTTACCAGACTTTAACATGTATTGTTCTTTACAGTTATATGACTGTTAGCCTTGCATCTGTCCATCAGCTGTTGTGCTTAGGCTGTAACAGCCTAATGAAAAGCCACAAGATTGTCTGAACTTCATTTTAATAATAATAATAATAATAATAATAATAATAATAATAATAATTGCTTTCACTTATATAGAGCTTTTCTGGACACTCCGCTCAAAGCGCTTCACAGGTAATGGGGACTCCCCTCCACCACCACCAGTGTGCAGCATCCACCTGGATGATGCGACAGCAGCCATAGTGCACCAGTACACTCACCACACATCAGCTCTCAGTGGGGAGGAGAACAGAGTGATGAAGCCAGTTCATAGATGGTTATTATTAGGAGGCCATGACTGGTAAGGGCCAATGGGAAATTTGGCCAGGACAATCTTTTTGAGAAACGCCCTGGGATTTTTAATCACCACAGAGAGTCAGGACCTCAGTTTTACGTCTCATCCGAAGGATGACTACTTTTCTATCCTTACAGCCGTCCAGATTTGTCAGAATATGGCTTTAGAGCTCACTTAATGTTGTGAATGTATAGTTATTTACAAGCTGAAGAATATCACTTATAAATACTCAACTGCATCCTAATCAGGTAGCAGGAAAGATGATTAAGGATTCCCACCAAATCCCAATTTGACAGTGCAGCGAAGGAAAACCTCTTTCCTGTACCTGCAAACCTTAAAAATGTCAGCTCTGGCTCACAGCAAATCTATGTAGCAACATAAAAATAAAAAGAGCTGTTTCCTTTAACTGGTTAACTATATGTTTACTTACAAAGTTACTCTCTATAACAAGCAGAAAAAGAAAAATATAGCCATAAGCCTATTTCCAACCTAGTCCACTGTTCTTACCTGAACAGATATTCTTTGCTCTTGGTCAAGCAGACACAACCTTCTGCACTGGAAGTTCCAAACGGGAAAAGCAGAGAGAGAGAAAAGACAGGACATGAATTTATCCATGCAAATAATTCTATAACAATACTATAAGAGGTTCCGAAAGGATTATACATAAGAGTTTTTTCTTAGTCACATTCCATTCTCTTCAAATTTACCAATCTGGTCATCGTTGAGCTGAATATTATATTTGCCAAGACACTGCAGACATAGCGCAAGTGTTTACAGTTTTCTTACAAGGGCTGTCTGGGCCAAGATGAAAAGTAACAAGGATTAGAACAATCTTCAACTCAGTGGTTGAGAAATATGACTTTTCCGTTCCTGTTTCTGGGAGGTATGTGCCTCTATGGCGAGCCGCAGTTTGGTATGGATGTATTAGCTTGTCACAGTTGAGCGAGAGATAATATGTGTGCTCAAAACATAAAAGCTTTATCAGAAAGCCAACTGCGGTGAGGATGGGTTGTCAGTCTGTTAGAGGTCAGTGGAGAAAGGGGCCATAAACAGATCCCATTAGTCCACTGCATACAGGTAAAAAGCTGCAAACTGACATCTTGTGGCTACTAATGAAATTGCAAAGAGCTTGATGCTTCAGGTGTTTGGACTTACCAGACACAGATTAATATGATTCATATTTCATTGTATTCTTCTGACCATAGTTAAAACTTTTTCAGTTAATCAAGAGTAACTGGAAGTTACTCGCTGTTAAGTTGCAATGTGAATCTGACAGAAGGTAACTGATGAATTGATCAAATCCTCTTTCAGAGCCAACTGTCACAGATTTCAAGCATAAGTAGGAACTGTAAGGATGGAACATTGTACAGGCCTCTGGCCTCATTAACTAAGGAACTTATCTATAATCAGTAAGACAAGCACTTCATTCCTTCCAGAGAGTCTGCAATTTGTTAAACCTATCTTGATATTTTTAAAACAGCTCAGACCTTCCTTAATATGAAAATACAAGTCCAACAGAAGAGGTCCAAGTCCTTCTTGTTCTAGTGCTATACAAAAGTACAATTATTTAATGTAGTATTTCTGCATTTCATTTAAGATGATCAGTTCTGGCCAATCTATGTACGTTTTCCATGTTTTAGTCAAACTGTATCTTAAGTTTCCTTCCTAGCTGACGTTAGCTATACTTAAAGCAATGGACTAACTCATATACATGAAGCCTGGATGGTTTTCACCTTCTGACAATGCCTACCACCATTCAGGCCGATGCCACAGAAGGGAATTCAACAGCACCCAGGTATAACAGACTGTATGTTGCCATTGGTAGAGCTGCCAATGTAACTGACGATAGATTCCCCTTTCTGTGTTGTCTACATCTGTTGTCTACATCTTTATTCACAGTAGGAGACAAAAAGATAACTAACGGCAAAGTCTAGTTTATTGTTCAATATTCCTCTGCCAAAGAGGACTATGAGTGAGCGTTTCCTTTGAACTGTGTCTCACGGAAAACACAGGTGTGGAGTAATGGAAAAAAATGGCCAAATTTGTTCCTTTAGGATCTGCCAAATTGGTTGTGACATAAATCATTGTGATTAGACTACAAACTTCACACTGCTGTCTGGAATGATTGGCTTTTTAGTCCACAAAGTTCCTGGTGCTAACTGTAACACACATTATTTAATTATAATTTTATCTGGAAGGATGAGGTGGAGAGGGTGTTTTCTTATTATTTAGACATTTTGAAAACTAAAGTACTTTAAAAGGTGAAACAAAATTGAATACACAACTGCAACTCGTTTCCTTCATTTTTCTGGAAGTATGAGAAAAGCCACGCTATTACCATAAATCAAAGTAAAACAAGAAAATACCGCAAACCTTAAAGCAACGATGACAAGACTATACAGTAAGTTCAGAGAAATATCACAACAGCCTCTCCTAGCTACAGTACATAAGCTCAGATGTCTGTTGCAGGCAACACCTTAATTATACCATTTAAACCAAAACCAGTTAACCAAACAATCTACATGGGGTTCAGCCCAAAGCCCTGCAGGAGAACGGCCTAGAGGAATCTCTACTACAGAGAGGAGAAAATGGCCTGAAACAGGGATTAATGATGCCAGAGAGGCAGAGAAGTGCCAATGGCTGGGTGAGGCCCTCACATCACACAGGGCTCTGACCTTGTCCGTGGCAGCGGAGCCGCAGAATTTCTCATAGTCTTGCAGAGCTCTCACGCTGGGGTTTTCTCCACAGACCGAGCAGCCGGCCTGCCTGGGCCTCAGCTTGATCGTGCGGAAGCGCGCCTCCTGAGCATCGAACATGAGCAGCTGCTGGCGGTAGCCGGCTGAGGGGCAAGGGCACGTTAAAGAAAACCTTCGCCGGACCTCCGGCGCAGGAGAAAACAGCCGTTCCCCCCCGTTTTTCCCCACACGAGACGGCTGCGGCACGTCAGGAGGTCGTGTCATGTCATTTGCCAAACTGCTTTGTGCCAGACGGTGCCGCGGGATGCCGGAGCCTAGCAGGCAAGCAACGAGCGCAAGGCGGGGTACGCCGTGGATGGGACGCCAGTCCATCGCAGGGCAAGTGCAAGCCAATCATGAATGGGGACAATTTGGATCCACGGCAAAGGCAGAGGGGGGAGATTTGGGCCGGGCACCAGGATAACTCCCTACTCTTTTCGAGAAATGCCCGGGGATCTTTAATGACCACTGAGAGTCAGGACCTCGGTTTAACATCTCATCCAAAAGACAGGGCCCACTACAAAATAGTGTCCCCGTCACTATACCGGGGCATTAGGACCCACACAGGCCGCAGGGTGAAGGCCCCCCGCTGGTCCCATTAACACCACTTCCAGCAGCAACCATAGCTTCCCAGTAGGTCTCCCAGCCAGGTACTGACCAGGCTCAACCCAGCTGAGCTTCAGTGGGTAGGCAGTTGAGAGCTGCAGGGTCATATGGCTGCTGGCACGTCAGGAGGTAAGACAATAAAAAACAAGAGGTATGACACTCACGGCAACCTTCTGAAAGGGCAGTCCACAACGAACAACGCCATGTATAAAAAAGGCACACATATCAAATGAAATTACTGAAACATCCCCCACTTGAGCAAGTACTATGTTATATATTATGCAGTAATATTATACATTATATTATAATTAATATTATATTATATTGTATTGTAAGATGAAGTAACATTTTGTTTTCTGCTTTGGCTGACTGTGGTGGATAGAATACTCCCATCCTGCTCTTCCCGCTCTGGGCTGGGATGATGATGGCCTTACAGGCATGATTTGTGAAAGCTGTGGTTCAGCTGGTCGAGGGAACTTCTGTTTTCCCTTCCTCATACTCCAGTGAATCACTCCATTTCTATACATTTTCCACCACATTTGGTTTGCCTTTCGTTTTAGGTTCATGTCGGTATGATTGAGACAGAGAGAGAAGACAGAGCACATATGGGATCTTTTCTGTCCGCTGTGCCTTCTTTCAAACCAAATTAATGACAAGCAGCGTGTTCGTGGACTAGACTATCCAAGACTAACTAAGCAACAGCTGGTAACAAACACTTTTTCACCTACGTTCATGTCAGATTTCGTGTTATTACAATGTAGACATTACTCTGGTGCAACCAAATCTTTAACTGTTAGAAGTGATAAAAAAGCAGCTAAATTTAATGTGAAGTTAAGACAGCAAATATATTCCATTTACTGCAAATTACATATAACAATTAATCTGCAAAGTTCATACTAAAGCCTAGTATCTCACAGGGTGAAGTTTAACCTATAGTATTAATCACAATTTATTTTTTTAAATATTATTAGTTTATTTGGCTGATGCATCCCTCACCAGGGTGGTGAGTCCAGCACCCTCACCTGTCCTCCATACTACTGCGTACACACCTACAAGGCTACACGATTCCCTCCTGGAACGCACAAACGTTCTATTGAGGAGTCCAGTGACCTTCCTGAAAATGACCATTTAATTACAAAGCACAACACAGAATGTTTTACTTTCCATTCTTTACTTAAATGGAACCATCACAGGCAAAATCTAAGCTAACCACAATGACTAAACAAGCTACCACTCTAAATCTTTCACTTCCTCAAAACCCAGTGGAGACACACAAGAGTGTCTTCATCTTCACACACTGGCTGTATGTGCGTAACTGCAAGCCAATCCCGTATTTTAAAAGCGAGTCGTTTCTGTCTGTTGCTATGAGCACAAAACTGGCCACCACTAATTGTAGCGCAGAGATTCAAAAGGGGGATGTGGGTTCTGTAGCTGCCTTCAGAACGGCACTGACACTGCAGTGTCTGCACTACTGGCAGTCCTGAGGTTAAGATAATACTGACGTTTTTCAAGTAAGACAACTCGCCCCTAACATTCAGCAGTGAGCCACAGCCTTTCACGTGTCGATAACTCTTTTCTGCTACTTTTCGCTCAGAGTTCACCAGATATTCACCTGCAGCTGGGCCACAAAGGCAAGGAATCGCCTGGGTGGAACCCTTTCAGTTCATCAGAGCTCCACTACAGGTAGCTACAGTACGTCATCAGGAAGAACTGTGTCCACAGCTTTTATACACACATGCGTGTGGCAAACAAAACCCACAAAGCTCAGACTTGTAAAGGATACGTTCTTGCCCAGAGGCAATCTTCAGGATCTCCAAAGCCTGGAAACACCCCATGATCCCTGGCACTGCAGAATCATTGAAAAAAATTAACTTAATTATGTTAATTATTTGCCTACAGGGGTCAAACAATGTAACCACAGGACACACGTTCACAGGATATGGGAGACTGAGAAAAGATTTCAAATATTGATACAGCACATATGCAGTAACGATTCTGAAGCATCGTTATGTGGTTTACCACTTGTTAGACTGTGAACAGCTTTTTGATTCCCAAGCATTGATCGCAGTACATTATCCATGTACTTCTGAGAGTGCCACCTGTAAATATAAATCTTTTGTCTACTGTTAAATCTTCTGTTAAAAATTCTAGAGATTTTGCTCATCCTGTACATACAGTTTACTACCAGTCTTTTATTTTTTTTTAAAAAATGTCCATAATACCAAGCAAGCATTTGCTCTGCCTCTGTGTGCTCTATAGTGGAGACTTACCTACTCCAAGAACACCTCCGTCTGAGCAGTTGGTCACAGTCTCTGGGGGAGGGGGCACGGGGTACAGGCATCTGTAGCACGGACCCCCGCAGTAATTGTACACAGTGAGCTGTGAACAGAGTATTACAGTTAAAGCAATTCTCAAAGACACAAAGTGCTGCTGATGAACTGTTAAAGGGTCAACTACACTTGTTGTTCCAATTGTAGGGTTCGGTCTATATTTGCCAGGTGGCAGTCAAATGTTGCTATTTCTTCCATAGCGCTCATCACTCATGCTCTCCCAGAACACACTAATGGAGACCCGAGTGTTTGCACATGCTCAGGATACTCACCTGCCCCTCCATCCGCAGAGCGCTGGCGGAAACCAAAGGTTTGCCAGCAAGAACACAAGCGTCGTTAACCAAGTAGCGCGTGGGCACGTTGTCAGAACAGTCGGCTATGATATCGTACATGAGAGCGAAGGCATTAAGGAAATGTCCAACACATATTAACAACTCTGCGCCATGCAGGTTTCATCAGCACAGACCACAGAGCCATTATTAAACACCATTTACATCTATTAGACACCTATTAGACTATAGCTGATACACCTATTACACCTATTAGACTATAGCTGAAACACTTATTACCCCTATTATAGACCTATTAGACTATAGCTGAAACACTTATTACACCTATTATAGACCTATTAGACTATACAGTAGCTGATACACCTATTAGACTGTAGCTGATACTTCAACCAATTTTCTGATCATTTTTACATTTTGGCATTTGACGTTCATTGCCTGTCTGTCTCACGTGACATTTCCTTATAATAATCCAATTCTAAACATATTTTACTGTTCGTTTATCATAGTCATCGAAAGTTACATTCACCGTAATAATCAGAGATGTAACTGTCCACGAGAAGAAAACTTGAACTTGAACCCTTCCACCTTGGTGGATTTTAAGGGTAATTCATTCATAGAAGAATAAATTGCATAAGATGAAAACAAGCCTATGTGTGATGACAATGAAAATCCTCATTTTGCGGAAAAAAAAAACAGGAACTGGCCCTGTGTCACCCCTCGTTTCAGTTGTCTTCCCAGTTCCGCTTCCGGAGGTTTTTACAAACCATACAAGGATACTGCTGAACGAGCTGCAGGGCGTTCTCGGGAGTCAGCTGCATGTGATATGGCACATAGTCCACTGCAGAGTTCAGCCTACGGGAACAAGAGTCGATTCCGCTACAGTAAGAGTCCAGTCGATGCCCCACACCGGCGCCTTGCACCTTTGTCCCATACGGTAACACGGTTTACCACAAAGTGCTCCGCTTCTGCCTGGTTTCATTTTTAATATTTGTGCATCAGGGGGAAATCAAGTTTCTTTAATTCCTAGTTAATAGTAATTAAATAGTCTCTGAGATCGAAACAATACTGAAATCATTCATCAATTATCTGTCTAAGAACCACTTATCCTAATAGCCCAACAGCCGTTCTGAGGTTGAAATGAATGTACATGACTGCTGGACATACCACCTGGATGGAATGGAACTTCCCCGGACCACACAGAAAGGAACTTTACAGCTATCTGGATGTAAAGCTAGCCAGCATGTCTGGGAGAGCTTTATTTATTTGTCTGACGCCTCTATCGAAAGTGACTTTCACCAACACACATTTGCACAGCTGGAACAATCGGGGGAGGGGGGGGGAGGTTTCTCGCTCAGGGCTACCAATGAAATCAGCTGCTTATGGATTCAAAATAAAAAAAAACACTAATTTACTGTAACAACTGCGGGTTCCTTCATGAAAGGACACCAGGAGATGTTATCCTTTCTCTTTTTTTTTTTTTACAAGGACCACTAAAGAATTTACACACACATTAGGGGATAAACCGAACATGTACACAGGTTTAGGGCGAGGGCAACATCGGGCGAGGGCGCTACAGTACTTTGACCAGTGAATAATTACTGAAAATCTCACTAAAAGGGGGAAAATATATATGTTAAAGTCCAATTCAGTCCATTTCTAAAAGGTTTAATCTTTAAGTAGTAACCAAGCAAGAGAAAGTTGAAAATCAATCATCGAATAGCCTGGGCAATCAAGTTGTTTTATGTTTTACAGGTTTTACATCCAAAAGAGAATAAAGGAAAACGACAAGGATAGATTCAAACAAAAAGCCTGAAATGAGTTAACTGTACATCTATAATTACCCTCCCTTCTTTAGGAAAATAACTTTGGGAGGGAAACTTCAAGAAAAGTGAATGGTTTTGTATGATGGTAACTGGGGATGAAAAAGGAAAACAGCATAAAGACTGATTCTTTCTGTCCCAGCATTCAACCCACCTTTGATCTCAATATCACTTCAGATTCATATCAGGCTTCAAAACAGCTCAAAAACACGAGAACAAAATCAAGAACATTGAATGGGCGATAAATCACAAAAATGGGTCAAAATCGCAACGCTAAAGAGTTTCGTAGACACATGAAACAACATTTGCACATTTCATCTACAGAAAGGAAAAGAATGTAAGAAACCGTCGACATATTTGTTGTGTTTTACAATAAACATGGAAGTGGCATGCGAAGTCTTCAGCCTGTTTTAGTGAAGTTACAAAAGGGAGATATGACAAAAATGGAAAATACATTTCTCAAGGAACAATGTCGTTCAGTTCTTTAGTGTCGCATAATACGGGCAGGAAGGCAAGCCGGGAACGATAACAAAAATAATGACTGAGAAAGAACAAGAGGTATTGAAATCTTTGTGTTCCCCTCCCACATTCACCTGACTACACCACCATTGAAATGTTAACAGCTAAGCTTGGTGGAAGACCAAACCAACAACAGAACTGTATAACTACAATAAGCCTGCTCTGGTTGATGACTAAGCAAAAACACACTTACATTGTGTAACAGAGTGCCCAGAGCTTGTGCAGCTGCGATAGCTTACAACAGGGTTAGGGTGAGGTAACGAACAGACGAAAGATAATGAACAAGAGAAGGCAACTCAGACCATTAACACATTTAGTCGCTAGTAGCTAATAGATCTGAGGATCTCGTCATTTCTTGAGTGGTCTCAGCCAATTTGAATAGGGCAGAGCTGTTTTTCCACACGTCCCCACTGCATATTCTTTGACAGCAGGTAATTATTTCTTATTAAAATCAATAGTTTTTGCATATTCTCCTTTCCTTAGCGATATGCTGAGGGCCTTAACTTAGATAATGACTGTGGAGGACAGTTTTTCTGCAGAGAAACCAAGTCGACAGCAAATATGATAACCAAAATCACCCATTTCAAGAAAACAAAACACAATTACAGATTCAACAGCACCATCTGGTGGAATAAGTCTTTCAAATTCAAATATATTTATTGGTATGACTGACGAATTACATTGCAGCCGAAGCAACCAAAGAAAAAAGGCAACAGTAAGCATTTTCTAACATTCGGAGCAATACTTCTGTTTGAAGACTTCATCACTCTTCCTTAGACTCTGACAGGAGACCACATACTGGGCTGCCAGCTCTATTCATTTTCCTTGTCCTTCTCCTAGTAGAATAGGAAGCTGTTCCGATTCTTGCAGGACTGGGGATTCGATTTGGAAGAGCAGAATGTTCTGTCTAATCCAGGAGTGCGTCTAGCAGGGAAGCAGAAAATGCAACTGTCCCTGCTGTCAGTGGGAGCACAGCCTGTCCTCTCTGGGTAGCCATGTCTGCCTGTATTGCAGCTTCTATGGCCAGGCTGTGGTCTCTGAGCCTGTAATTCATCGGGGTTTATTTCTCCTGGTTGTCTCTTAGCAGGGTCAGATACTTGGTCGGTGTGTACTGAGTTTTTAAAGCCCGGTAGCATTCCAGTTTGTGTTGTTCATATGCGCGTGTGTCCCAGGGGACGAGGCAGTGTTTTTTGTGCTATAATTCGATTGACCTGATTTGAAATGTCTTTTGCAGTGCTGTCCTGAAGCTGGTCAGCGAGACTCGGGGCAGTGAAATTCAGGACCAGCTGGCTGCGAGGGGCGTGTCTCGATCAGTTCTCGCCTCAGCAGTTTCTTGTAGTGGAAAGCATTCTGGTCACATTTTATTAGGTGCAGCCAATATTGTATTGATCTCTTTTGACTGGACGCCCACTTAATTGCCTTATAGAGCAATAAGTTTTGAGGGAAGATTCATATTCTGCAGCCTCCTTCTTATAGCATAGAAAGCCCTGTGTGCTTTCTCTTTCAATGCCCTCATTGCTAGGACAAACGTCCCTGACGATCTGATCTTTAGACCAAGGCATGCACAGCTGATTGTGTGTTTTACAGCACTGTTACTCCGGGTGAATACATTCCCCCGAGATCTGTTTTTCTTTGGGGAAAAGCTCATCCCTATTCTTGTCCGTTTTTTACGATCATTGCCCAGTTTTGACAGTTCAGCTCCAGCAAAGCCAGGCTCTGCGGCAGCCCCTGCTCTGTGGACTACAGTAGGACCAAGTCATTAGCATAGAGTAGTAATTTGATCTGTGTTGTGTCACACAAAGCCAGAAGCCGCAGACTGTCCCAACCCCACTGCTAAATTAGTTACACTGTAGACTCCTACACCACTTTGCAGACATTTGTAACATAAAGAAGTTCCTAATGCCAAAGTGAGTCTAAGGTTCTATTAAGATCAATAAAACTGGCAAACAGTTTCCTTTAGCTCACTGGTGGACATGCTTGTTTATAAGTGTCTAGGGTGTCAATGTGATCAGCCGGCGCAGTTGTTTGCTAAAAAGCGAACATGACCTTTACTCAGAACACTGCTCGGTAAGGAAGGCCACTATTCTGAGAACACTGAAAAACACCTTTGCCAGGTCACTGCTCGTTCAGGTACAGACTGTGCAGACTGCAAAATACATGCTGTACTCGAAGATGCCCCGATAGTGACTGGGGTCTCCACAGTCTGAGCCGGCCTTGCTGCAGTGTCTAAGCATCGCATTGCTGACTCGGTCTTGGCCGCAGGTCTTTCACCTGGATTTGACTAGCAACTCCTGCTCTGTGATCAAGGGAGTTTAAGAAGTTGTGTCTTCAATTGCCAATTCCAGAGTTTTCCAGAGCTGACTTTTTCCATAGATGTTGTTTTGGTCTAACGCTTCTACATTTGGTAACTATTGGTGAAGTTTTTAAATGTCTTTTTCCAGACTATAATTGTGGATGGCCAACTCTTTGGGTTTTGATTTAAAGTGCTTCACTTTTCTCAGAAGCAATTTTGGTTTATTGACTTCTTGATTTCTGAGAGCTGCCTGTTTATAGATGCAATTTTTTCAAGGGTGTGTGTGTTTGTGGTACCCGCAGTATTTGAGGCGCGGATCTCCATTGTGTGGTTGTCTGCATCATTGTTTTGCTAGTTGCCGCCAAGCTGTCCTATGGTTTTCACAGTCTGCATCAAACCATTAGTCTTTCCCTTTGTTTCTGTATTTTATCCATTACCTTACTTGATTATAAAACTGATTTTGCATGGGAATAATTTAGAGGCTGTCTATCTAAACATATCTCTGATTTACTGGTTTGATACGGTGCCTCTAGGGATGAGGCATCATGAGACACAGATGAGGATCTGGATCCCTCCCAGCTCTGAACTGGTCTGAACTGGTGCGGTGCTGGAGAGCTTCTGTCTGGCTCTGCTGGGTTCAGCTGGTCTGGATGGAGTGTGTGGGTGTTTCTGGTCAGAGCTTATGGGAGGACAGTTCTGATCAACCACAGTTTATAAAGTCTACTCGAACTAATCCAAGGCAGAGGAATCTGATGATCTGTGATCATCTTAGAAAACCATTAGACAGTAAGTGCTTCTGTTACTGATCTGTTGAGCGAGTTGCCTCTAAACATAACCAGGTTCGTGTTTGTGTGTCACCAGTTTTCCCAGTGGTTGACGAAGCTGTATTCCTGCCAAATCAATAACGCCACCAGGATTGCAAACAAGAGAACTTTTCGCAGGTAGCTAGTCACTTATAAGTTAATGTTGTGATAATATCAGTTCATCTGTTTTCTGATACAATCAGTTTAGCTATTCCATGCTGTGATGGGTGGAGC